TTTACAAGTAGAATTCGTTACATGTATATATATATGTACACGCACAGTTTCCGCACAAACATCCTGCGAATGGCTCGTATGGCCTTATATATTTCATATTAATTATTGTTACTGTTCTTAATTATATAAAAAAAATAAAATAATTTAAATAATATTAAGTTTCTGTGCGGCAGTTTTTTATAAACATTGTATTATTAAAAAGTGTTTTCAACATAATGACAACACTTATAGTTTTAAGATATTACTTTTAAAAAATCACGAAAAAAATTATCGGTAAATATAGGTAAATATGGGTAAATATACCGGTATTATCGTATACCGGTATGACGTCATACCGGTATTTCTGCATTTCGGTTTGCATAAGGGTTTTCATAGTATTACCCAAAAATATCGGTAAAATACCGGTATTTTGCATATCGGTATAAGTTCCTGGTGTAATCTCGTTACTCGCTCAAAGAGATCTTTAACATCTATCAATGGACGTAATGACTTGTCATTCAGTTACATTTAAATTTCATGTTCAACAAAGATTTCCCTTTGAAATGTCATAACGTGGAGTCGCATGAAACGCAAGAATTTGGTCGTACAGATAAAGGCGTTAATGTTCTGTGAACATGAAATAGTGTACTTTTCATTGTTAACCTTATTGAGAAATTATTAGCGTAACTTCATGTGTAAAGACATAAACACACTCCTGACTGTATTACACAAAAAACCTGATGCAAGGTCTTTGCGACTGGTGAATCTGATCTGAAGTGGAACGAATTCCTGCCGTTCAGTATGCATACCGCGTGATCGGAATTCACCTACGCGCGCAACTAGGCTCGATCAACGAGTTGTCTCTTGACCGTCAATTAATAATAGTCAATTATGTCGCGACGCGATAAATTCACGAGTTTTGCGACGTTCCATTTTAGTAACGTTAGTAGATGTACAAAGCGTGCTTATGTATGTGCGTTTGAAGAAACATATTTTGCCGATTTTGGTATGTGTACCGAGTTGCAGGTCGTAACAAAAACATTTTTTTTTTTAACATTAACAACCGCGACAACCCCACAACTCAATCTGTGCAGTGCGTTATTATTTGCCAGATTATATCGCAAAGTATATACGTCACTAGTACAAAAAAACCTAAAAATTCTTTTGAAAACTTACGTAGCAAATCTAGGGAGTCTATGGACGCAAACAATTTGACGATAAATCGTTCGTTGGATCTAGAGAAAATCTTACCGACGCAAAAGGGCAATACCGAATGCTTTGTATATCAATTAGGCGTAATTCTCGGGACCTTCGTAGCTAATCAGTGCAGAGCAAGTGGTTGAACGAGATCGAAAAAAAAGCAAATGCTTGAATGAAAGTAAAACACGTGCTTAACAACAGAAATTTATTCAGACAAGGATTCCAACTACTCGATAACCAAAATTGCGTGCGCATATAAGTATGTGTGATTGTTTTCTGATTCATCACCGATTGTGACTGCAGTCAAGTGTGTATACTGACCAGCACTCTAAATCGTTTCGCCAGAGAGAGACGAAAAATGTTCTCTTTTGCATCGGTTTGCTTTCAACAGCCGATCTCGACATCGATTGAAAGAGAACGGCACACATAGAGAACTTTGATAAAACCATTCGGTGCCGAGAGAGTATACCTACGAGATAATCTTCCGTAAGCTCGACGAATACACGACGCGTTACTCTTCGTCAACACGACCGGGATCGACTTCCGCAACTCGTTCTATATCAAAGAACGAGAGAAATCGAATGGAAGTTTTATGTGCGTATTCTATGTGTACCCGACAATATAAAGATGGTACATTTAAAAGTCGTGAGCGATTTGATGACCGACAGATTTCTCGCGGTCGTTCCGCAACAAGACAGGAAATGTGGGTGCACGTTTACTTCCACGAGACCAACTAGTTGCTGTTTCTTAAAAGTCACTAATAATTTTTAAAAGAACTATGTGTATGTTTTTTTTTCAGCTTTGATAAGCATAAATGACTGGATGAACAGATTTTCAATTGACAAATGTATTCAAAAAGTCTGGGAAGAAAGATTTACTTTTTCCTATAATAAATTTGATACGAGATCACATTAAATTTTAACTGTGTCATCGCTGACCAACGATGATCTATTAACGCTCAACCAACGGTGATCTATTAACACTTCTTAATTGTTTATGTACTCACCTTTGAGGTGCGTGCTCCGGACAGGCAAACACCTTGGCAACATGATTCAATTCTTTAATTCTCTCGATGCAAAACTGGCCATTAGGTAAAACGACTTCATTTATCTTTAGGCCGCCATCCGGCTGTAACGTGGCGTCTTTTGCGTCACCCAAGATAGTGAAATTCTCCGATTTCTCGCAGATCGGGAATCCCGTTACAATCTCAACGACGGACGATGCGTTTGGCAACAACGACGGGGCGTCTGCAATTTCCTTTACATGCGCGCACGTATTTCTGCAGAAAATATAAATGCATTTCTATGTGTGTGTTTTGTCATTAAAATATACAGAAGTAACAAGAGAGTAACTTTACGAAAAAAATTTTTTAAAAAGTTTTTATATATTGAACTATCTTTCTCTTTCTATTTCAGCAAATTCGGTAGCCTGCACTAGTGCGCACTAATGGAAAAAGTCCATTGAAAGTCGCACTTAGTGCGCACTAGTGCAGGCTAACAAATTCGCTTTCTCTTGGATCACTATGTTTTTAAAACCAAATTTCGACTACTATTTGATTAGTTATATCTGTTTGTATAACATATGTTATATTCAAATTACTTTCTTTCTTGAGATGTTTACATTGTCCTAATTATTAATCTTTTATACGTAACTTAAAAATTTTCGTCTTTAACCACCACCTAACACACATCTTCAAGATTTATGTAATTTTTTTGATTGTGTATGCTTATATACGCGAGCGCGTAACAGAACTATATTCTATCACTAAAAATATATCTCACCCATGTTCGTGGAAAGCAGCATTCTCGCCGCAACATCGTCGCACTCGTGGTCTCATCGTCGCGGCGGCATGATTGGCCGGCGACTTTTTCTCTGCGCAAACGATGATCGCATTCGAATCGGCACAATACTGGCCTACGGAATATTGTTCGTCGTTCGCCACTGCCTTTCCGTCGTTAAACAGGACGACCGGATTCAACTTGTTGAACGGTATGTGAATCAGCTCCGATCGGTTGTCGCATTCTGGCCTACGATCTTCCAAAATGCGCCAATCGGCAGGCAGGTACTGATTGAGCGTCTGTTGTATTTGTGAGTAAATGAACGGTTTCCACTTTGACAATGTTGGTACGCAAGGTGGCAATTTCTCGCCCGAATGTCTGATCGACAGTTGCAGCTCTTCGTTGAATTTACAACACTTAAAGATTGTCAATTGCGAGTCCGGCAGGTCGTTCGCCACAGACAGGATTGCAATTGTAACGACAAATACCACGCAATGAACGAGCACTTTCATGATTTTGAAGTTCGCGATTTTTCGGCGCTACAACTTTTTTCTTGTCTGTTGTTTTTCTTTACACTTTTGTAGTCGAAGTAACTTACTGACAGTTTGCGCACGTGAATTGTAATAACTTGCGGATAGTTAAAAAATCTTTCTCGATAGGTAACAGTGGTGTAAAACAAAAGTCGAATACTTCGTCATCGTCACTAAAATTCACAACAAATTTAATCACGAATGAAGAAGAATGTCATCTCATATTGGATATAAAAATCAAATGATAAAAATCGATCGAACACTCAAAAAGAATTCTTGGAAAACGACAAAGAATTGTCCGCACGCGAAGGGAGGAAACATATCAAACACACCTTTTTCCTACGAAGGCTTCGGGGATACTGAAGTTTGCTTACCTACCTACCACGCGATTCGGATCGACTTCGCCGGCGGCAGCGTGGCTAGCGATGCGCGCGCAACCACAAGCGCCATTCGCTTTCTTATTGTCCAACACGCATTTCTCTTCCTTTGGCGACCTTCAACGGCAAGCGCCGACACGATGAGAGGATAAATTCGCAATCACATCCCTTAGCTCCATTATTGCGTTTGAAAGTGCAACGGAATCATGTGTGATGTTATGTTTGCAATTTAGAAAGAGTTTATACACGAAAGCAATAATATTGTTTTTTTTCTGTTTCGCACTTCTCTTCAAGTACGAGAAAAATTTAATTTTTATACACTCACACAGAACATGATGTCCATTAGAAATTCATGCAACATCTACAGCTCCATCTCCATGATAGATGACGGATGAATGTCTGATGCATATCCATACTAAGGCCACTATAGATATCCATATGAAATCCAATATAGACATCCATTAGACGTATGTTACAGATATATAATAGATGTTTATTTATTTATTTTTCTTCAAAGACTTAATGGATTTTTAAATATATTTATTTTGCCTTTTATTATTTAAATAACTTGCCATTTATTATCGCATAAAAAATATTTATATAGCTCTGTGCGACATTTATCTCCATGATGAATGATACAGATAGACGTGTAATAGATAGTTCATAAAAAATCCATTATTATTTTCGAGAACTTAGTAAATTATAAAGATTGTATTTACTATATCTTTTTAATATTTTAATATATCTTTTTTACGCATAAATAACTTCATACATATAATGTATACATATTATATTACATACCTAATGTATATACATTATATTACATATACAAACAATATATTAATTATTACTATATAATAAGAATGATATATATAAATGTGTATTCATATTTTCATAGATTTGCTATATTATTATTAAGAATTGACTATAATAATCAGTATATGTTAACAAAAAATTTGTTCACGTTGTAACAATGTACTTAAATTATAGTTAATACTAAGAAGAGAAATATTTTTAACCATTATTGCAGGTACATTGCACTGCAATATTTTTAATAAAATAATAATCAAAATAAATAATACATAAAATGTGTAAGATAGCTTGAGAATAAGTAGATAAAAATAATTACATTTTAGTAAGAAACAAGTGGTCTCGCGGACTGAGTGCAAGGGCTGCGAATATGGAGGTCTCGAGTTCAAAAATCTCACCATTACCTACCTTAGGATTTTTTCCAGGCCCGGTCTTTCATCGAGTTACTTAGTTGATCAGCAAACTGAATTATGCCTCCAAAGATGAATTCGAGTGAAATTTCGAATTAATTTTCCTTTCACAAGGCGATGTGCCATTGGTTTTTTTTTTTTTTTTTACACACATATCATTGTAATATTACTGTGATGCATTTCGGCGGACATTTTAATATTACTGTTATAGTACATTAATATTACGGTAATATTTCTACTATATTAGAGTGCAATATTGCATTGGAAAAACAATATTACCGTGATATTGCAGTAATATTATATGCTATGTGGGATGTCTACTGCATATTCATGACTGTCTATTAGTCATCTAAAAGAACGTCCATAACATATCTATTTCATCTCCATGGATTACCACGAAACATCTATAGAATACATCCATTAGACTTCCTATAGATGTTTGAAAAGTGAACTCTAGATATCTAATGGATATCCACTAGAGGTAACGTGAGCGTTCATTAGATGTTTCCAATTTCCATCATGGATGTCTAATAGATGTCCATTGGAGTGTTCTGTTCTGTATAAGACATGTTATACATACATGCACATATATACATATACATATATACATACAATAATATTTGTGAATATTATGTTGTAAAATGTAAAATATAATTTTATTAACATACATTATACAATATGTATTTAATATATGTACATTATAAAATGTTCGTTTCAATCTCATCGTTACTAATATATCTTCTGAATTTTTTTGACTGGTCTTGTGTGATATATTAGCTTGATTTCGGGTCTTTTGGAAAAGAAAAAAATATATCTTTTAATAAATATATATACAGGGTGTCCCAGAATTGGTGTGACATCTCTTGTAGGCAGGTAGAAGGAGTAAAACTGAGTCGAAATATCCTGAACCATTTTTTTCTATTATTTATAATAAAGGAGTAATTATTGAGTAAATCAGGCCAATCAGCGCCGATCTTTAGCTAGTCGCACGTCAGTGAGCCACGTGCCTGGTGTATGTGAGCGCTCCGCGCGGTTCACTGATGTTCGCCTGGCTAAACATCGGCGCTGATCGGCCTGATTTACTCTATAATTACTCCTTTATTATAAATAATAAAAAAAAATGGTTTAGTACTTTTCGACTCAGTTTTACTCCTTCTACCTGCCTACGAGAGATGTCACACCAATTCTGAGACATCCTGTATATTTATATTTATGGACAAATTCACCGTAATTTTAACTTTTTATAGATTTTTTAATACTGATAAATTTGAGTTGTTTTTTATATGTACAAGACGTATTTTTTCTTTGTATACTTTCTAGTAATAACTATGTATAAGAATGCAGAGCGTTCGTGTCATTGCTGAAGTGTAAAAGTACACTAAATCGATAAAAATATAGAAAATCATAAAATTTAAGTCGTACCTTTCGAATTTGTGTTTCTCTTAATAACTTTTACTAATTTTCCACACGAATGACTGATTGTCGACTTATAGTCGACCTTTTTCAGTGAACTTATAGTCGATGTTTAAAAGTTGATTTTAAGTTGACTTTTAGCGGACGACTTAAAGTTGACTTTCAAAAGTCGACTAGAGTCGACTATTTGCCGATAATTAGATGGCTTTGAAAGGTGAATTAAAGTCAACTTAAACACAATGTATTTGTTATCGCGCTAACGTGTATATTTATGTATTCGTGTGTATATCTGACGCTTACAGCCTCAGTAAGTGTGAATTGATTATTGTGATCGTTGCGTCAGTTGTTTTTTAAGTATATTTTGAAAGTATTGAAAATTATATAATATACTATTCGTCGACTTAAAGTTAACTTAAAGTCGACTCTTCAACAGTTGATTATAAGTCGACGATAATGTTTACAGTTTTGAAACGCTTACAGCAGAGTTGAGCAAATTTTATTTAGAATAACGAATAAATAATAACAAATAAATTCGTAAAATTTATTTACGAATAACGAATGAAGATACAGATTTATTCGTAACTAACGAATACGTTTTTACAAATAAAACTGATTATTCCTTATTCGGGAATAAATTTTACAAATTTATTTGTTAATTAAAATAACTCCTTGACGAATAAATTTCCGAATAAATTAAATAGTATTGGCACACGTAAATATTATTACAAAATTTTCAATAATTAAGCTAAATAGATATAAAGAATAAAGAATAGGAAATTATACGCAATTGTAAAAATTCTTTCTGTTCAAAAGTATATAAGCAGTTTTTACTTTTATTGAAAATTTAAAAAATGTATCAAATTAAAAATAAACGTTTAGAGAGTGTACATACAAAATATATATATATATATATATATAT